GGTCTGGCCTTGCCTTGCTCAGAGAAGTGCCAAAGCAGACTATGGGCATCCATACAAAAACCTTTGAGAATAAGGATTCTAGCTGGGTAAGAAAGAACTTTCTTCTTCTTGGTCCCTTTCTTGCTCTGTGCTGCAGGGGAATACAGTAAGCAGAGGCATTTTGTTCCTAATAGTAATACAGTACACTGAGACAGAAAATCACCGTAACCATAGGCATTTCTTATTTTGGCTACCAAAGGAAACTGCCTGTGGAAAGTGCATTCAGGAGCCAGACAGCACACAGCAGAGCTGGGATGGCTGCAGGAGCCTGCAGCAGCAGCCAAAGGGAACTTCAGGCTTCCCAGCTCAGAGCAGGAGTTTGTGTAAGGACCTGGCAATTTCTGGAAAGTCAGCTCTCCCCACAACAAGAGATCTCTTGATCCAATGGATGGCTTTGCCAAAAGCCACGTTGTACCTTCTCCACCACAGGCTTCAAGAGCTGGCTTCTTCCTCACCCTCCCCTGGCATCAAGATAAAATGAGAACCTGAGTTCCGTTAGCACAAGATCTTCTCCCCCAGTCCTGGAGGGTTTCCTCTGCTGTGAGCTGAGAAGCCTTGCTGTGCTTCAGCTGTGGATGAAGGGAAGGGGGCTCAGGTGCAGACCATGGTGTGAGAAGAACCTGAAATACTTCTTGATGCTTTGAGAAGATTCTAAAGCCTCCTAAAGCCAATATTGGGGCAGTCTGAACCGAAGGCTCAATTACTCAGTTTAAATCCAAATGACTCAGAGGTTCATCCCCCCCATGAGTGCTGCTGATTCAACAGCTCTAACAGCAGAGCTTGCTCACATTTAGGAAACAATCAATATAAAGATTATGAGGAGGCATCCTTTAGAAGTCCTAAATCCTCATCCAAGCAGCCCCCCATGCAAGCAGCACTCCTGGCATTCCCGCTCTGCTCCCTTTAGCATCACAGCAAGGACCACCGCAGACTCAGGTCTTTCTGACACCTTCCTGCAGGTGCCTTTCTGGGAACATTTGTGCCAACACTCCTCCGAGCTTGGAGGCTGAGGCTCCACTGAGCATCTGTTAGAGCACAATAAAGCAACCAGACCACTTGTGTTCTGCCTTCCACTCGGCCAAAAGCTGCTCCTGCCTCAATCAACAACCTCATCCATTAGAACCCTGCATAAGCAGGTACAACTAACCAGCACAGCCTCAGGCTTTCATTTTTAGAATGATAAAGGCTGAGCTGCAGCTCTTGGGAATATAGTTGAGGATACTGAATACTGAGCAATTCCAACTGCAGTGCTCAGTCTGCCTGGCAAGAACAGGGCAGGCTCCATGCTGAAGCCATTAGTGATGGGACTCCTGCGATCACCTGCTGAGCAGAAGGCAAACGCTGCCTGGCCCCTGCACTCACAGCTCAGTGTGTGCAGGGCTGTCCCTCTGCACACTGCTGCTCTCAGGGAGCCACGTCTCTCCTGTCACCCAGCACAGTCCTTCACAGGAGGGTTGAGCAATCCATGGAGAGGGAACATCCCTGTCCCTGGGCTTCATCCCAGCCTGAGGCACAGGCTGGCACTGCTGCCTCCCTGCTCTGCATCAGTACAGGGCTGGTCAATCCAGCGTATTTCAGCAGCACTAAACACTTCTTAGCGACTTCAAAGATATTTAAAGCAAGCAAACAAACAAAAACAAACAGGCTGGGAAACATAAAAGCAGATTTCTTCTATCCCTGTCTAATTGATCCAAGGGTTCAAAGATTCCTGTGAAGAAGGCAAACTCAAAACTGCATTGAGGATGCAAAGACCCGTGTTCAAAGCCACGCAGAGCTGATCACAGCTGGGAAGGAGTGGGATTTCATACCTACCCAGGCTCGGCTGCCCACTTCACCACCTGAGAATACCACCTGAAGCATGACTGCCTCCCACATGAGGATGAGCAGTACCCAGCACGGAGGCTCGGTGTCTCCTAACACTACTGCTGCCATCAGAGGAGATGGCTGAGGCCGATGTGCTACTGGGAGCAAAAGAAAGGCAGCCCAGAGTCAGTTTTCACTTTGGAGTGGCACAGAGGCTGCCCGGGGTGCTCCTGGTTCACTGCTACCTGCAGAGCACCAGGCAGAGCCGAGTCCTGTGTGTCTGAAACAGCAAGACCATTCTCCAGGGGCACATCGTCATTGTTTGGAGAACTGGACTCAACCCCCGTTTGCTTTGTGTTTCAGCTACTCTGCAGCCTCTCTCAGTTTGTTGCTTTATGCTCCCTGTGTTTGTGCTTCTTTTGCAAGGTCCTTGCTCTCACAAGACTTTCCCAGCGCTCCCCTGGCCCCCAGCTCAAGCTTCTGACCTCCAATTGCTCTCAGAATATTCCTAAGGGCCACAAAGAGCTGAGCAAGAGGAGCTGGAGCAGCGGAGGAGAGCAGCAGACCCTCCTTCCACCCTCAGATTCCTGGTGGAGGGCAATGCCCGAGACTTGGAAGCAAAAGAAACCTGTGAAGGAGACAGGTTTTCCCAGAAGCAAGTTTCTTGTGAAGGTTTATGGTACCTGCCCGATGAGGTCAGTGTGGTTTATCACTTGCCTGCCTTACTAGGTGATTTTAGCATCCTGATGAGCATGCAGCCATTTTATAACCTTCAGCAGGGAAGAGAGTCTGAAGGGAAAAGCCCTGGAAATTCTCCCCAGCACAAGACTTGGTGCCAGCAAAAGGCAGGCTGGGTCCGAAGTCAGCTTGAGCCTCAACTCTCTCACCTGCTACCCATTACAGAAACAGATGTTCCTCCTGCTCTAAATTGCTGCTATTAATAACATAAATAATTATGCTCTTCTAATAATGTAATAGGTGCACAGGAGGGTACCAAAGCTCCTCACAGACATTAAATACATCTCCCTTCTCAAGGGCTCGGAGGCACATTGGTGGCCTCTTTTCCTCCTCAAGTTCAGAATAAGAGAGCTGAAGCCAGACTAAAAGCTAAGGAGAAACCAAGGGAGGCACCGCCTGCCTTGCAGATCCATCCTCTCTCCAAGTCTCTACGCAACAGGGACAGCACCCGAGATGCATGTATGAAAGCATGCATGTGGCTCAGCACCGCAACACTCACACTCCTTTCCTTTGGCAAGATGCTGCTGCCCAGCTCCAGCACATGAAACACAGGAGAAGCTGACTTCTACCTCCTCAGCAGGTTCCCAGGACACAGCAAGGGACAGCGTCCCCCACCTCCTACAGCAAGGAAGCCCTCCTCTGCAGGGAACCTGTCCCAGTCCCTGTGGTCCCCCCTTTATCACACCACAAACCCCTGTCATTCCCTCGTTTTCCTCCAGAGAACACTTTGTCCTTCTGTCAACAAAGCCCCGGCCTTGAGAATGTGAGCAATAGCATCACAGATGAAGGAGGTCAGTGCCACAGCTGCTCAGCCCCTCTTCCCACCCTCCAGCAATCACACAGAGACAGGCATGGCTCTGGCTGTCAGATGGGAGAAAAATCACTGCTGGCTCCAGATGTTCCCACATCTGGATCCCTGGAGGGCAGTGAGCAGCCCATGGGCCATGCACTCCCAACTGTGCAGTGTGGTCAGAGCTGCAGAGCTCCTCTCCCAGGTAAAACTGGCCCAAACCCTTCCACACAATGCGCTCACCCTCCCAGTCCAACGTGCCTCATGCAGTGCTCTCATGCCCATACAGTCCTCGGCATTGTCCTTGCCTCCTCCATTCACCAGCCTAAGGGACCTGGCACCCCACCAGCTCGTTTCCTCCACACTTTGCTCTGTCCCAGGGGCAGCAGCAGCACCAAGGTTAATTTCCTGTTCCCCTTTCAGAGCAAAAGAATTCACCAGAAGGAAGCCCCTGCAAGATGCCAGGAGCGAACAGAAGGCTCCAGCCAATAAGTTTCCCAGCAGCTGTAAGGATGCAGCTGATGTAAAACAGGAGCTGGGGCAGCTGCTGTGCCTCACACAGCCTTTGAGGAAGGAGCTCAGCTCCACTGCAGCTCCTGTTGGGGCACAGCAGAACATGCTGGCTCCTCACCCACAGCTCGACTCCGCAGGAAAAGCTCTAGCACTGACATAGCAGGCAACACCTTCAAGATCAACATGGAGAGCAAACACACAGAGCCGGCCCTCTCCCTCCCAGAACACCCTGCCTCAACCCCAGCATCATCTTCCCTACGTCAGTCCTACCAGGAAGCATCATCTTCTCTACGTCAGTTCTATCAACAGGAAAGGGAGCACACGGCCTGGGAAAACGTGGCTGCACAAACAAGGTCATATTTAATCAGTGGGCACCTCCTGGGGTGCAGTTTCATCTGTGTGAATTAGTGAGGCTGTCCACAGCAACACAGCAACCAGCTGGAAGTGCCCTATGCCAGAAGCCTGCAATGGGCAGGCTCAGGGTAGGCAGAGGGTCCCCGAACTGCAGACAGGCACCAGGGCTGGCCACGTGCTGTGCTGAGGACATGGCTCTGCTCTCCTGCTTCCCAGGACTGGAGGCAGAATCACTCAGGGCAGTCAGTGAAACCATTTTGTCTGCTCTGACTGAGCCTTGCCACGTCTTTATGTCCAAGATGGGCATCTCTGAGGGTGTTCCAGGTGTGAGACAGCACCCAGCATGCTGATGCTCACAACTTGTCTTCACCCCATGCTGGACACTTGCTCCTTGGATGCTAATCAGAAGAGAGCAACCAAAAATCCCTGCCAGTCACCTTGTGGAAGCTTGCTTTATCCATCAGATCAGCTAGCATGGCCCTGAAGAGCTTTAAAAGAGACAAAAGCTGATTTGCTGCTTGGTATCGTGGAATTTCATTCCTTATGCAGATTAATTCCATTAACTCATTCTGTGCCCTTCTGGGGGCAGATCCTTCCCTGCCCTTGCAGCTCTTGGAAAGCTCAGAGCAAACATACTGCAGTCTCCTTTCTACTAAAGGCACTTGGTAGCCTCATCTTGCTCTGGAATTCACATTCCCTCCCCATGCACCTCACCACATCTCTCAGGAAACCTTTCAATGCCATCAAAAGCCCCAAAACTCACCTTGTGCTTCATAGCCAGAATAGTGATGAGCTGTCCCCGTGTCTTCCTCACCAGGACCCAAGCCAAGGGCTGTCCTGAGCTGGGCCATGTTCCCCTGCGCTGTCAGCTCACCACTCCGGTCCCCGATCTGCAGGGGGAAACCAACAGGGCAGCTGGTTGAAGGACATGTGCTCCAAGAGCCACTAACAAAGGGATTTGCCAGGCCCATATCAGAGCAAAGACAGAGCCAGCCAAAAGAGCTTGGAGACACAAAGAGATTATACAGCCCAGCTTTCACACCAAAGAACTCTCTAAACCTATTCCTCAGGGGTACTTCAGGAGAGGGCCCATGTGTGCTGCGCTATGTACTGGCTGCACCACAAAACATGATTCTCTGGAGATCAATACAGTGAGCCAAAGGGGCAGAGCTCACCCACTGCTACAGAACTGGGGCAGAGCTAAACCTGCATGTCTGGTCCATTCTGTAGCCACATATGGCTTGGCAAAGAGCCCTGAAACTCTCAGCCCCCTTCCTCCAATATTTCCATAGTTACTGAGCAGCAGACAGCCACGCTACTACCAGCCATGTGGGCAGTGCCACACTCAGGGGTTGGATGCTCTGAGAGCCCTTCTCTCCTCACTCTGATCCACACAGTTTTGAGTTGTTCCTAGTGAGATGCCCACCTAAGGTCCAGAATCTATTAGAGTCCAAATTTTAACTCATTCCCATCCAAGGAAGCCAATTTACATCTTCAGGAAGAGATCTGTCCAATGGCTCCTGCTACTTCAATGGGAAGTCACAGGACATGCTGCTGCAGCCTCCTCAAAGTTTAACCAAAGCACAAAGTTACTGTACTGCACATTGCCAGTGAACACAGAGGTCACTCAAACAGCCTTGAAGCTTCAGAGGAGCAGCAGCTTGTTACAGAGGAAAACCTTGGCTGTTCCCTTGGAGAGGCCAGACTCCTCATTAAATGCCTTGCAATAGCTCTTTTGTGGTCCTGTGAGATAGGCTGCAGTGTGAGCCAGCCTAGGACAAAGTCATAAATCCCCACATTATGACAAAGCCCCAGCACCAAAGGGAGGCAGATCAAACAGCTTATCAGGCACAAATCCCCCACCAATTACAAGAGATTTGCTGTTGACATCATCTCCAGAGAAGTTACTGTGTCCTGGTTCGGTCCCACAGTCCTTGATGCTTCCCTGACTTCCACGCATTCCAGATCACCTTCAGAGCCTTGCCAGCATCAGAGGAGCACACTGGCAGAACCTACCCTGAGATTTAGCCAACCTAAAGGCTAAACACAAGAAAAGAACACACAAAGGCCTACATATGGTGATTTCAGTTAGCGCTTCAGCAGGGCAATTTCTTCATCTGGGAAGACTAAAGAGGCCATGGCCCATTTCCTCACTAGAAAGAGCAAACAATGGAATTCTGGCTTTCTGTACTTCCGGGCCACCTAAAACTGCCCTATGTTCTTGTGCCAGGAAAGCTGCAAGCACATGTGTGAGAGCCAGAGGAGCTGCATGCATGAGGCCCCACATGGCAGGGCAGTGTGGTACAGGGTGAGCTGTGCTCATCCAGCATCAGCAACCAACTGCACCAGGACAACGCTGGGATCCCACCAGCTCCACATTGAGGAAACAACTTGTTCAATTGCAGTGCAAACCACTGCAGATTCAGAGCACCCAGGCACTGGGTGAAGGCAAGTACCCTGCCCAGGTATTTGCCAGCAAATCCAGCCATACCACAGCTGGGATCACAAGGTCCATCTCAGTCGGAATCTCACAGCCTTGTGCTCAGGAAAGGTGGGTCTTACTGACAGACTGGGTCCCAAGAGGTACCTGAGCTCCTTCACACCAGCTGGGCTCACAACACCTTGGCCAGCAGACTGGAGAACTAGCCCCTTGGTCCCTTCTCACCATCAGCTGGACAGCAATGTACAGCAATGGATCAGCTGTAATTAAGGAGAAGGCTGGGAGCATCCCATTAAGAGGATATTTCCCAGCCAAGTTCTGCAGTTCCTAAAGACTCCACTGACACAGCACATAGACAAGGGCTTTCCAGAGCAGTTACAGCAAGAAAAAAACTAGAGTAATAGAACTTATTGGCACAAAATAAAGTCTTCCTCTCAACAGGGGGGACCAATTCCCTCTGATCTGAACCAGCTTCTCTTACCTCTTGGGAGATTTCAAGATGTTTCCTTGCAAAGTGCAAAGCCTGTTCATGGCTCCCCAGGGAGACATAGGCATTTCCGAGACTCCAGCAGGCTCTTCCTTCTCCCACCCTGCAAAACAGGAAACTGTCAACCACAGAAATGCTAGGCAGAACCCAGCAGCCCTTTCGGGGCCTCCTCCGAGAGCACTGACAGCCAGGCCAGCTCCGAGCTATGCTTTCACCCATGGAAAGGTTCTACCAAGGAACATGAAACGCACTGTACACCTTCAACTCCTCTTATGCTGAGGTCAGTAAGAGCAGGGGATGAGCAGTAGCCTCAGAAGCAGGCTTGCATCCACAGTAGCAAAATCTAAGCAGGGGAGGAAGAGCCCAGGACGTTTGGCTTCATTTGTGAGCACCACCCTGAAAGCAGAAGCCACAGCTCCTGTCCAGCTTCCAGCTCACAGTGCAGATTCCCCTCCAGAGATGCACAATGCATCAAGGGGATGTGCAACATCAAATCCCAGCCTGGACTGGGTTGGAAGAGAACTTAAAGCTCATCCAGCTCCAACCCCTGCCATGGGCAGGGACCCCTTCCACTAGAGCAGCTTGCTCCAAGTCCCTGTGTCCAACCTGGCCTTGAGCACTGCCAGGGATGGGGCAGCCACAGCTTCTCTGGGCACCCTGTGCCAGCGCCTCAGCACCCTCACAGGGAAGAGCTTCTGCCTCAGAGCTCATCTCAGTCTCCCCTCTGGCAGGTTAAAGCCATTCCCCTTGGCCTGTCCCTACAGGCCCTTGTCCAAAGCCCCTCTCTCCAGGTTTCTTGTAGCCCCTTTAGGTATTGGAAGGCTGTAATAATGTCTCTCCTGAGCCTCCTCCAGCCCTTTTGTTCAACAGCAGCCCAGAGCTAAGCTAGCAAGAACAAGGCAAGGAGAGAACACTGCAGCATGCAACGCTCCTGCTGAGCACCAGCACCGCATCACCCAAGATGCATGCACAAAGTGCCTGCAAGAGCACCAAATATCGACCTATTTACACCGGCCCCAGGGCTGCTGCCTGCCTGCAGGGAAAGCAGGTGAATGTGGACCCTGCAGCCCCCAGCCCCAGCCAGGCTCCGGCTCTCTCTGGAGCAGCTTTCAGCATCTGTTTGCTGCTGGGAGCGTGCTGAGCCCTGCAGGGGAGCAGATGTGGGGGGCAAGGGATAAAAAAAGCACTGGGGGCGCAGGGGGCGGCTCAGCATGACTGCAGCTCTGCAGCTCCCTTGGCAGGGCTTTGGGCGGGTTCATCAGCATTTAAACGTTCCTCTTGTCAGCCCGTTCAATACCTTCTGCTCACAGGGTGTGTTCCCAGGAATGCAGGAGCCCACAGGCCTGCACCCCCACAGCATGATTCACCCTAGGGTGGGATTAGACCTTCTCCGAGCAGATTCTGCCTCAGATAGAGATCCTGGGTAGTGCCACTCATCTCCCATCGTAATGTCTCTGCTCCATCTAGTGGAGGACACCCAGGGCTTCCTGAGGGCCATCAGCAGGAACACTGAACACGGGGCTGCTAAGTCACTTCAGCTGCAAGAAGGCTCCAGGGTTACAGAGAACATCGAGGAGGAAGGAATCAACCTCTCAGAAATATGTACTTTAAAAAGGAAAGAGTTAAAAAAGGCCAAACCTCCTAAAGAAGAAGGAATGAGGCCAGAAGAAGGGATGAGGGCTTGGAGCACCCTGCTCTAGTGGAAGGTATCCCTGCCCAGGCAGGGGTTGGAACTGGATGAGCTTTAAGGTCATGGGATTCTGTGAAGTCAAGAAGCAAAATATATCATCTCCACTGGCTCTATGTAACATCATTCGTTTCTACATGGAAGTTTCCAGCCTCACCCCGGAGGAGGAGGAGGAAGTGACAGGTATATGTGCCCCAAGCAGGCAGTTCCTGAGAAACATACATTCTTGTGTGCTTGAAGAAGCTTCTAGGGCCCTTTTGGGATAAAGCAGCAGTAGCCACGTGACAAAGCACCAAATACAATGCATTTTCTTCAGCTACCTCTTACTAGAAACCTCGCTCAGCCCACGCAGACAAAGCGCTCAGGGCACAATCTCCAGGTTGGAATGACAGAGGTGTCAATCATGGTACTTTTCCACAGATGATGGGACTGAGGCCTGGGTTCTGAGAGATTTCTAACGACTTTCAAGAGTACACATCACTGCTGTTTAACCCCAGCAGCAGAACAGTGCCATGGACAGGGAATGGTCAGTGCTCTGAACCCACCAGGGCAGAGGCACCATCCCCTGGGGCAGTTCTTTACCTGTCTCCCAGTTCCTGCGCTATCACCAGGTGTTTTAGATGGTACTCGATGGCTCTTTCATAGTCTTGAAGCAGTGTGTATGTGTTTCCAAGACTGTAGCATGCCTGAGCTTCTACTGCTTGGTCTTTGAGTTGTCTGGAGAGCTGGAGTGTTTTCCTACATGGAACAAGTGGGGATGAAGAGACCTGGTTACTGAAGGGCACCTTTGCAACGTGACAGGAAAGTCACCACTTTAGCATGTACTGCATTGAGGTGCCTGTCACACACTGGTATCAAGAGGCTGCATTACTCATCACTGCTAAGCACACATATGCCATTGGCCTCCAGGTCCCTTGTCACATCCCCCCGAGCCTGTGAATTCACTGCAACAGGTCAAGATTTCCAGGGGACGTGTGCCCCAAGCCTGCCTCAGCCCGTCGCTTACTTGTAGTACTCGGCAGAGATGTCGAACCTCCCAAGGAAGATGTGTGCGTTGCCCAGGTTGCTGTACGCTCTCCTCTCGGCTGCCTTGTCCCCAAACTCCTTGGCAATAGCGAGGCGCTGCAGCAGACACAGGTTGCTGAGGACAGGCTGGACACTACCAGGTTTCTGTTACACAGCAACATTGCTGGGAGATTAATCGTGGCTTGCAAGGCTCCCACCCACCAAGGTAGCGGTGCACACGCTGCTGGGGCTGGATGCAGCAGGAAGGCTTCCTCTTGTGCAATCCAGCATCAGAAAGGGCCTTTTGAAAAGCAGTAGCAATATCACATCCTCCTCTAAGTCCTACTCCAGCCTGGCCCATACACATCTCTCTAGCTAAAATGCAAAATGTGCCACACACATACTTCAACGGGTGAATAAACAGAGCAGAGAGCTGTAGGTCAAGCTGCGAAGGGATGTGGTTGATCAGACTAACAAGCAGGTCCCAAACTAGAGTTTTCCTGCCCTTCTCCAGGCCCCTTCTGCCACAGGGCTGCTGGCTGCTGTCTCCAGCATTTAAGAATCACAAGAGCTGTGACAGGGCTGACATTCCAAGTTGCTGAGCACCCTCCACTGCAAGGAAACTGAAATAGGAGCTGAACTGCATTTGAATTGGGGCAAGGACTGTGTCAGCTCCCCCTTCTGCAAAGCTTTACAGAGTTATGTTCTACAAGCATCATTTATTCCTGATCAATTGCTCTTCCAGCAGCTTAATTAAATTCATGGCTTGCATTTATTAAAATCTAGGAGGATACAAATTAAGAGCAGAAAAGCTTTGCCAGGCCCAGCTGCAACTTGCCCTTGGGTACCTCCTCTGGTTTCCAAGCCAACAGCACCCTTCCCTCAAGCTGCTCATCAGGTGCTAATGGTGACTGGCCTAAGGTGTTACTCAGAGAGTTAGTGCAACAGGGCCAGACCCAGAGGTACATGCAGAACTTCCTGGGCTGTGATGAGAAGAAAAGCCTCTCTCTTACATCCAGTCACAGCCCCTGGACCCAGGGAGAAGGCACAGCAGTATCCTACCTCCTTGTGGAAGGCTATAGCTTCACTGAAGTTGCCAAGCAAGTACTGGGTGTTGCCAAGGTTGCCATAAGCACGGCCCTGGGCAGCTCTGTCCCCCAGCTCCTTCACCAGGGACAGGTTCCTCCTGAAAGAAACCAGAGCAGTAAGATCTGGTGAGAACAGGCAAATCTCTGCAGGAGACACAGCAGAGAAACCCACACCATAAAGGAGAGCTAACCCTGGAGAAGGCATTTCCCCTCCCCAGCTGCCCATCCTGTGCACAGCCACCCCTTGGCAGGTGAAGGTCTGGTGATCCACAGCAGCTGCAGCTCCAGGAGCTTGTGTAGATCCAGTGGTGCAAGTCCCTGCTGTTCCCCCAACCTCACACAATCTGTGGCTGTGTCCAGGCACTCACAAGTGCTCACACACACACGGGCTGACAGAATCCCACCTTAACTAAGAAAGAACCACCTCACTGTGCAGGGGAGAACCAGGAACACAGGAGGAAGGAGATTACCTACAGCAGGACATGGACAAATCTGGGGAGAGAGGCAAGATCCAGTCCCATGCCAGGGCTCTGTTCACGGAGCATCCCAGCAATTTTTTTACCTTGTTTTTTCCACCCTTTACACATACAGCACACACAGAGCTCTCAGCCAGCACAAATCTACCCACTGCCTGTGCTACATGCACCATTCTCAGGAAAAAGGATGGCGAGTTATATATAGGCACTATCACATCCTCAGATATGAGATCTTGTCACTCCACCTAAAAAGGCTCCTAAACCCCCAGCGTTATTGAAGCAAAACTCTGAAGTAGGAGGAGAAAAACATTTGCCCAGAAGTCTGCTGACAACTTTCCTGCGTGGGACAGGCTGATCTTAGACTGTTTAGGAAAGTGAAGGGTGGTACAAGCAAGATAAACTACAGATCCACGACAAGGACAAGCAGGACTGCAAGCGAAAGCCTCTTTCCCTGGGTTTTTGTGGTCCCAGTGATGGAGACGCCCAGGGATCCATTCTCATCAAGGCCAGCAGAGAGCAGCAGGGGCTACAGGAGCCGATAGTGTAGCTTCCAAACAGCTGGGAGCGGGAGCAGACTGCTGAACTTAATTGCATGATCATACTTAAAAACTACAGTGGGTTTTAGCAAAGCAATGCCAGGGTGAATTTCAGCTCTAGTTCTATAAAAGCCTGCATCCTCTCTCACCTTTCTCGAGATGAATTTGCCATTTTAACTTGGCATCTCAGGGGAATCTTCCTCATTCACTACAAACAATCCCATTCAGCTGCCGGATTTTTAACAGTGCTGAGCCCACAGATTCATTCTTTGCAGCAAACATCTTCCAGAGCTCCCGCATCCTCAGTGGCCCAGGAAACAAATCCCCCCCATGAGAAATACTTCCAACAGGACTCAGCAAAAGCTGTCATCTTGCACCCCTGCAGCTCTCATCAGCCCAGTGGTTATCAGAGCTCAGGGAATCCGAAAGCTGTCAGCAGAACAGGGGCACCACAGCTGCAGATTATGATCTGAGCAGGAGAAGCTGAACCACAGAGTACCTGTGTGTATGTCAGCAATCACTGATGCCTCAACAGCCTTGTTCCCTTCAGGGGAGAGGGCTGGCCAAGCTTAAATACTTACTCATAATATTCTGAAGCTTTCTGTAGAGTCTCCTTGACTTCTTGAGGCAGGTAGCCTGGGTCTTGGGCCATGTTCCAAGATAAGTGCTTTCCCTTTGCATGGTAAACATTTCCTATATTATAGAGTGCTCTGGCTTCACCTACCTAAAGGGAGGAAGAAGAGGGAGCAGCAAGGTATTACACTTCACATCCCAATATGGACTTTTCCATTGCTGGGCAGAGATGGTCAAAGCCACATTTTCCTTTCCCATCTTCACTGTCATGGCAGCTGTTGCTGTGAGCAGCATGAGACCTGTGTTGGCAGCCAGAAGGAAGAGCTTTACACTCCACCTCCTCCCAAAGCCCACCTTCACCTTATCACATTTACTGACTCGCAGGCAGGTATTTTTAGAGCTAGGGAATATTTCCTGTTGGATGCCATGAACACATTACCTTGTCTCCCTGCTCCTGAGAAATGTCCAAGTGTCTCTGGCAACAAACGACAGCTTCCTCAAACTGCCCAAGTATTTTCAGTGTGTTCCCAAGGTTGCCACTTGCTTTGGCTTCTCCAATGCGGTCCCCAATGGTTCTACATGGAAGGTGATGGGAGGAAGGATGAGGTGTTACAGAGCTCAAAACCTTTTATTCACCACCTGTTGGAGCAGAATTGAAGCTGCCCCAAGCACTGCATGGCACGTACACCACATCCAGCAGCTCCCAGCACATCCACCTGGCTGGAGTGCTTCATACAGGCTCCCTCTATTTTGAAGACAGATCCTTGTTCCCAGTTTTGCTGGTTGAGGTGAACTGCTCTCATGACTTCAGGTGTACTTACAATGAGTACCTGGGGATAGGAGAACTGGACATTGCCCGGCTCTTGCTCCACATCCTTACATCCACATCCCTGTCTCCACCTCCCTGCTCTGAAGGTGGCTGACCCATTCCAGTTGCCTCCCAAGTTCTCCAAAGGACATTCACCCCATGCTTCAGAGCTAGTTTTGGATGCTTATTTCTGGGGCAGATTCCCTCAGGCTGCTGGGCTCAGACCCCACAGATGAGTATGTAATCGAGGATGAATTGCTGCTGACACACTTACCTGGCCAGGGTAAGGTCGTGTTTATGGTATTCCAGAGCTTTGGAGTACTCCTTTAGGTAGAAATAGGCATTGCCCAGCTGGCTGTAGATGGCACTGAGAGTCTTCAGGTCCTCTGTCCCCACCTGCACCGCTGCTTCAAAGAAGGCTGCCCCAGCCTTGAAGTCCCCAGCCTTGCACAAGCGCTCTCCTTCCAGGGCCAGCTCCAGGCAGGATGCCTCCATTCTGCCAAAAGCAAGAACCATCAGTTCTAGAGGAGCTGGCCTGCTGTGCCCCACACTGTATGCAATGGTGTCCTTCACTGCATCAGGAGAACAAACCCACAGCTGCATCTCTGCCTTCAGCCCCAAACCCCAGGTTAAATAGAACTTGGGTGACACCAACTCAGGGATGGGCAGCTTGCAAACCTCGGTGCTGTAGCCACCAGCTTCCAGTGGACACAGTGGGCATTCATCCCCCCTGAAAAACCAGCCTAGGAGGCATGAGACACATCCAGATTCACAGAGCACATCTGCAAGTGGCCAGAGGCAGCCCCTGGGTTCCCAGTAAATCTGAACAAGAAACTCAGAGCTTGTGGCTCTCAAGATGCACACACATGACAAGAGCAACATGGCATTTGCAGAAGCCACGTACCCAGACTGTCCATGCCTGCTCCACCTTCCCGGGGTAACAGAGAGGGCAGCCAAGGCATAACGCATTTTTCTTGGATACCAGAGGAAACCCTGGACCGTGCAGGATTCCTGAGCAGCCTCCAGCGCTCCTTGTCTGCTTCTCATTACCTCTCCTGCTGTCACTTTTTCCACAGGCACGCTGCACATCAGCCTCCAGCCCAGCTTCCCTCCCTCGTGTTTCTCAGCACCTTTGGCAATGGCACATGCTGTGCTGTCAGTGTAAGCACAGTGTGAGCCAGCAGAGGAGTGAGACCAGGGATGCTGCTTCAAGAGAAGGGAATCGTGCTCCTCCGAGTGCTCCAAGCGCTCTCCAAGTGCCAGCTGTCCCCGCTAGACCACACATACCCAAAGTTCTCAGAGGGGGCAGAGCACGTGTTTGAGAGCTGCTGCAAAGCCAGCCCCTTCACGAGGCAGATGGACACAGCATGCTCCTGCTCCTCTGCTCACACTTCTCTTGGCTCTGTTTGGCTTTTTCATTTCTGCTCAATGGATTTTTAAAAGGCAAAAACCCTCCCGGCCAAAGGTGGACATCTGCTCAGGGGAATCACAGCTCACTTGTCCAGTCAGCAAAGCAAGGGACAGGCAGAAGATAGCGTCCAAAGGTGGCTCCTCTGTTCTCAGCCGAAGAGCACTTGCAGGAAGCGTGACTGTGGTACCCACAGCAAAAGAACAACTTGCTCATTGTCACTGGGGTAGCAGCAGCCCAGCTGGCAGCTCCCATAGCAGGTTCCTGCTGAGCCCTAGAAGATGCTTCCCCCCACACCACCCTTGTGACGAGCCCAGCCCCTGCAGCCAGGGTCTCTGTAGACCAAGGCTGAGGTGTGCTGGCCAAGCCAGGGCACCCTGTGCTGCTCTGGCTCCTCTCCCTGAGGGGGCAACTTGCCACTGTGCCCCCACACACATCCTGTGCCCACTGACTTGAGGGCAGAGCTCCTCCTGCTCCAGGGCTGTGCTCCAGCACCTTCTGGCCAAGCCCACAGCCAGCATTGCCTCTGCCTGTTGCCAAGGGGCACGGGGAGATGCACATATGAAATGCCAATTCCCGATATATTTTTCCTACAAACAGGAAGGATGGCGTTTTCTCGGCTGCCAGGAAACAAAGCCAGTTCCTCTGTGAGCAGTGCATAAACTGCCTAAAATCCAATCCTATTCGTCTGGCAACCTGCCTGCTGAGCTGGCTCCGTATGGCTCCAAACACCCAACGCTTGGTAGCCAAATGGCATCCTCCAGAGCAGGACAACCCACAGGGACTGTCCAAACAACAGAACAATGAACATCAAAATGGTGAAAGAGCTGGTTTGGGACTCTCCCTCCGAACACCCTGGTGACCTCTCATGTCTCACTGTTCATGTGTCCCCAAAACCACGGAGGCACACAAGGGAGAACAGGACTGAGGCAGCTCATCTGGGCTCCCACCTCAAACTCCTCCACAAATATCTGATTTCAAGCTCACTGCAAAGCCCCATTTGGGTGACTATTTCACTTGCACAAAGAGGCTGCTCACGGTGCCAGTGCAGCACCAGTCCCTCAGCTTCTGTTTCATAGGGGAAATAGAAATGTTCGGACTGTCAGTACTAAAACTGTTCAACTCTCTGCTGATCCTCTTGGCAGACCACATGGAGGTTAGTAAGAATGAGCTTCTGCTACAGCATGTTGAATTAGAGGGACCCACTTGGGGGCGATACCAAAGCGCCATCAGTCCCTAGACACATTCATGGTTTGAGGGGTTATCCAGTGTCATAATCAGGTACTGACAAATCTCTGCTGACTGGAACCGAAGACAGACGAGGAACACCTTGTACTCACATCAGCAAGATTAAATTCAGGCAGCTGAGGTGCACGAAAGAGCCACTGTCCCAGGAATTAACTGTGGATTCCAGTCAGAGGATGGCACACAGAAGCAAATCTCAACCAGTTCAAATTTCAACACAAGCAAAACTCTTCCCAATATCCAGGTTCTCTTTAAGAAACTGAGCTCACCACCTGTAAACAGGCTGAAAACTGAGCTGAAGACCATTTTCCCTGACTTAGCATTGCAGACTAGCTCCAACCAAATGCGTGATTTGGATAGCTTGAAGTGAGGGTTCCCGTCCCCCCAACACAGAAAACCCTTCAGCAACAGAACCCAGCTCCACCTCCAAGGGTGGCATCTCCCTCAGGCCATGTTTGCCAGTGGCACCCACCAGAAGTGAAATCTGTGCCCTGGGGCCGCATTCCAATACACTCACACAGTTTCACACCCGCTCTCTGGGTGCTCTCCTGGTGCTCCCACAGTAGCTGCTCAGCACAGGACAGTGGCATGCCCTCCCAGTGACACAGCCTTTAGCTACAGCCTGCTTGTCCTTGCACGGGCTGCCCTGCAGAGCACCCGCCTGATCTGATTAACATCAGTGCTCAGGCCGGGACCGACACAAGCAAGGGGAAGGGAGAGGAGGCTTTTCCTCCGCATCATGTTGCTGCCACGGGAAGGGACAAGGCTGCAGGACAGCAGTTATTAATAGAAACACAACCCACTCCTAAACCCCACCTGCCCTTCCCACATCCTCGGGGCCCCACAGCCAGGGCTGGTTTGGGGAAGCAGCTCTGCGTGCAGCTCAGTCGCTGCAGGCTTAAAAGCAAGCAGAAACACAGCGCCGAGGGCAAAGGAACCAACTAAAGGTCAATGAACAAGCTCGGGCACACTGAATCACTCCACATACAACAGCTTCCAAAGGCCACAGCTCCACTGTCCATCAGAAAAGACTAGAAAGGTGACTATAGGAATTTGCTGTTCAATGGAGCCAACCTGACCCACCTTGACAGACTGACAAAGGGAAAACCACTGACAATAGGAGAAACCCAGCACTAACAGACTCCAGCTGCAGCCCCGGTTCCTCCCCACAGCAACACCTGAGCCCTCACCCACCTCTTCTTCTGCAGGTTGCGCATTTTCTGGACATAGACCCAGAGCTCCAGCCCCACCGGCAGCAGGAGGCAGCGGGACTGGGGTCTGCTTGGCACAATCTTGCAGACAGGTCTCTCCCTGAAGTTCACAGGCAGGATCTGGGGTTTTAAAGATGCTGATGGCATTCCCACGTCCGTACAGCGCGCACTGCGCTCCAGCCTTCACTCCAACCACAGGGGCAACCTTACCAGTAAGTTACTGGAATCTTGAGCTGTGCTTATCTGGGGTGTTTTTTGTCTCTGCTGTCACTGAAAGGAGAAAGGAGCATTGCTCTTCTTTCCAGAGATCTAGAGAAAGCAATGTCTTTCCTTTAAGAAATACAATGTCCTTTGTCTTCAGGTTGGCTTCAGGCAGCAGATAGGAGAGTCCACAGCTGAAATCCAGGAACAAGAGTGTCTTGGTTCACTCACTTTCTGTACTGCTCAAAGGAAAAGGGCCCTAGAAGAGCCCATGAGATGGTACAAGGCAGCTCCCACCTTTCTGAATTGCTCTTCCCAAAACACTTTGCCTCTGGGGTCGCACCAGCTATTCCTGTTGGTGCCTCTTAGACACAAGAGTAGAAAGAATTTGTCTCTTTGTCAGGCGCAGAGCCAAGGGTTCCTCCAAAAGAGGGCCGCTTTGGGGCAGGAGCACCCCTTGGCTTGGCAGGCTCCGAAGGGGTCTCATCCGTCTGCCACCCGGGAAGCTTTGCAAGTTCCAGAAATGATCGGAGCAGTTCTCACACTGGAGAAGAGCAGAAGATGGATCCCATGGAGCACATCTCTGCCCATTTAAATGGGCTCCAAACCATCCCCATCCATGATGCACAGCCTTCTACCCCCCAGATATTACCCTCCTCCCCTGCTGACAGGCTTGCAGCATGCCTGGGCCTGCACGACCTCAGCAAGTATGTACTATTCACGTCTTAATACCAGAAAAGAAGATTCAGGCCCTCCTGAGCCAGCAAATGACTGCTGACAAGCTGAAGGTGCTGGGCTTGGCCATATGGTGTGGTTCAGAAGAGACACTGCAGAACATGAGCTGCTTTTCCACAGCTTAGATGCTGGGGCTTGCTTACGCAATTCTCCCACCACGTTCAACCTTTTGCTGACAGCACAGGACATCCCTGACTGAGGGTTTTGGGCAGAGACCTGGGGAGGGGAGAAGCTCACTTGAAGTAGCCCCTGTTCACAAGCCTTGCCCTAAATCAGCGCACACCACACACAGATTTGTGTGTTCCTCCAGATCGGCAGGATTCCATCCAAGTATTCCCAGAAGTCACATCCCAGACTCCAGGTCCACAGCAAAAGAACAATTTCTTATAAGCAGAAAGAGACCAAAGAAACCCAGTGTTTGGTCACAGATGAGTTGGCAATCTGCACAGGGCTCTGCTGGAGGAACAACGGAGTGGCATAATGCTGGCACATCACTCGGCTCCCATCAATGTGACAGCTGAGAATTTCAAGCCCAGGAATGGATGTTGCTTCTGACACTCATAAGGCAGAAAAGGGTGACCTTCCACTGTGTGGTGACAGGGATGAGGAAATCACTTCCCAGCTCAACAAAGAGCAGGGCCACCCTCCCTCCTCTTTAACTTCTTTAAAGGATAACTGATGTGAAGGTGGAAAGAG